AAATATACATATATATATTATACAAAAGAACTGAAATAAAAAATTAATTTTCTGTCGCTTCATTTTGTAACTGAAAACAGAAAAACGAAATAAAAAGAACTGAGGATTTATTTTTTTTTTTTTGTATATTTTTTTAAACAATTTTCTTTTATTGATTTGACATAAAAATTTCTGCGCCGGTGTTGTTTCTTCTTTGTTTTGTTTTTGTTGTTGTTGCTTACCACAAGAAATCGTAATTAATTAATCATACGAATTATAATAATCATAATAGTACTGCATAATTTTAATAATAATAATAATTATAATTAATGTAATAGTTTTTTGCTACCGCAAGTGTATATTATACGTTTTTAAATAATATTTATATCATATATTCTTCTTCATCATCATCATCTTTTTTTTTTTGTATTTTTTGCAGAGTTTTTACCTTTTATTCAGCTGCTAAGTTTTTTTGTATTTGTTTTTTTGACGCCAATTAAACATTGAATTGTTTAAGCATATATTTTCATATTTTAAATACGTTGTTTTTTTTTTTTTTTTGTAATTTTAATTGTAATTTTAATTTAACATTTAACTATGTACACAACAAATATTCTTTTAACGTTGGGTTTTTGCTGCTAAAACTCTTTAAGCATTTTTTTATTTCCACTTTTCATGTGTATTTGTTTTTTATATTTTTGTATTTAAGATTTACTTTTAAAATTAGAAAACAATAATCTTATACTTGTTTGTAATTCATAAAAACTGAATTTCAACTTAAATTTACTTTTGAATTTCTCTCTCTTTCGTTAACGGAGATCGCAAAAAAAAAAAGTTCTCACAATTTTTTTTGTTTGTTTTTTCATTTCAAAATTTTGTTGGGGCAACAAAAATAAAATATATAAAAATTTTCAATCTGCAGTTTTTTCAAAAAACATTCTCAAAAAGCAAAAGTAGTTGAACGCTTTGCTTGCCTACATAATAATAGTAGTAATAATAGTTATACTAATAATAATAATAA